GGGGAGCTAAGAAAATGTTTATCTCCCTGAGCTTGGCCTTCATAATTCCATTCCATCACAAGTTGTCACACCCAAACCTTGACCTTCTAGTAATGAAATAATTGCAAGAACTTCCCCTTCCAGCCATGAGAATGACAAGGATCTTCTCTTCTCCTTTGAAAGAAATGTCAAAAGCTACTTTTGATGAACATCAAATTAATTGGGATAGTAGCGGGGAAAATGTAGGAGAACTTTTCTGTCTGGTACTATTCTGGGAGGGAGCAATGACTCAGAATACACTTCATGCATTGCAAAATATACATCAACTGCATATCCCTCCCCCCTCCCCCCTTCCCCCCACAAAAAATGAACTAAGATGACAAACCCAGAGTAGTTGACAGTCAAACCGGCTACTTGAAGCACTTGACAACTGGCGCCAAAGTAAAACAGGTTTAACAGGAAAGCTGCTACAAAGGTGATACAGGCAAACTTTGCCATGGCTGCAATGTGCAGTTTGAACCTCTTGATGAGAAAACCTCCCAAGAACATCCCCACGATGGTAATGGGTAAAATGATCACACCTACAAAGGAAAGGGAGCAGGGACATCATCTCACCCATCATTGAACACAAAACTCATATCCTTCTTCAGATCAACAGGTTAACATAACCCAGTGCCAGGGGTAGTAATAATATAATCTGCCTGGGTACTCATTTTGGCAGTGGCAAGAGACAACGCTAGCAGTGGGTGGGGTCAGATCTAAAGATGGGTGTGATCAGAACCAAAAGGGAGCATGGCCACCACTTTTCTCCCCCTGTCTCCTAAAGCTCCCTCTGCTGTCTCCAACATCCTCATTTCTTGCTCTATTTTTTGACCTTCCATTCTGTCTTGCTCTTTCTCTTTCTCTCTGATCCCCCACTCTCCTTCTCTCTGTTCATGCACAGAGTTCACTCTTACAGGGAAAAAGGATGTCCATAGAAGTCACCCCATCCCACCCGTGCATCATGTATGCCTACTCCATCTTATGGAACATCTATCATTACTCATGGACCAAGCAACCGATCCTTCAGGAAGAATCCACCCCCACGTGGCTACTCACAAAGCCAGAATATCTGAAAAAAAAAAAAAAAGAGAAGAGCTTCACCTACCAATAAGAAAGATGGCTCTTGAAACAGAGATGTTGAACTGCTGCTCCATAAACTTTGATTCAAAGGTTATCATGCCAACCAGAGAATTGTATTGGAGGATTGTGAGGAGCAAATAGATTAGGAAGATGGAGTTTCCCAACAGTTTTTTCAAAGTAGGAAAGAAATCTGGAATAGGAAAAAAAAAAATCTTTAAAATAAAGAGACGGTAACCTTATTCAATATCAAGTCTATCTAGCCCTGAAACTAATTTTGATTTTTGTCCAAATTTGCAATTAAGAAAACTTCAATATAATTTTACAAAGAGGAAAGGAAAACCTTGGAGTATATAATCAAGGCATTTAATAATTTATTAATTAACCTTATTGGCATAAAATCATCGCAAGAGTTAAGATTTATTGACATGACTTAATCATATAGGACTAATTGGACAAGTCCTTATCTGTTAAGATCCCACTATAGCCCCAGCAGGATCACTACCAGAGTCAAAGTGAGTTAGGACACCTTGAGAGAGATTCTCAAAATACAAACCAGAAAGAAATTCTTTCCAAAGCATGCAGATCTAAAAACCTGATACTTCCTGATTCAACTTAGAGGCATGAGGCCAACTGAGGCTGAAACAACCTTATATTGTAAGGCAAGGATAGGTAAGTTTTGTTGGGAGAGGAGGCTGTAAAGTAAGTGAGATACATCATACACACAAGTGGGAATTTGGGTGGAGGGCAGAAATGTGGGAGGTTTCTTTACTTTGTAACTGTCATATGCCTCTTTCAAGGTTTACACCAGGGTTTCCCAAACTATGAGGTGTACCTCCCTTGGGGGGGAGTGCAGACAGAATCCAGGGGAGGTGTGAAGAACCTTTTAGTTGTACACTGTTACCATAAATCCACCTTTCCCAAAGTTTCATTGTATTCTTTTCATGGTTCATTTATGCTCATTTTGGTGTTTGGATTTTTAGGGGAGGTGTGTACATTACAACCACACTAAAAGGAGGCGTGATGGCAAAAGATTTAGGAACCCTTGGTTTATACTATTGTCTGTATCTGCTTCCCACCCCACAGTGGCAGAAAAGTGGGCCATTCATTTTCAGCAAGTATGAGGCCCACAAGAATGGAACTCCAAGACTATTTGTGACTCTGGGGCTCACCCCATCTGTTGAGTCACAATCAAGGCCCTGCTTGTAGGGTGGTAGAACAATCCATCATTGCTGGAGGATGTTAATACAAACATTCACGCGATACTTCTTAATTCTAGCAATTCTCTGGGCTTCTGCTATGCTGTATTTCGCCACCTGATGTATTATTATCTTGACAAACAGCTCTACTGCTGACTTTCTGCTTAAACCAAGCATTAAATATTTATTTATTTATTTATTATTAAATTTGTATGCCGCCCATCTCCCCCAATGGGTGACTCTGGGCGGCTCACAGTTAGCATTAAATATTTATTTATTTATTTATTATTAAATTTGTATGCCGCCCATCTCCCCCAATGGGTGACTCTGGGCGGCTCACAGTTAAAATCAAAAACCCCAACAACAATTTAAAAAAAACCCATAAATAATAAAACTAATCAATCCATTAAAAATCAATATAAAAAACAAACCCCATACAAAATACTGAAAACATTCAAGATGACGGAGGGGGCAAAGTCAATCGCCCACAAGCCACCTCCACTGGTGCAAGCCCCCATCCAGCCCCCAGGCCTTCTGGCACAGCCAGGATTTCACATTTTTCCTGGAGGCCATGAAAGTGGGGGCACACTGCACCTTGGGAGGTTGGTTATCCTATAGAGCAGGGGCCATAGCAGAAAAGGCTCTCTTCCCAGATCCCACCAGTCAAAATTCCTTGACTGGTGGGGTCTGCAACATGCCCTTCTGCCGGCCTGAGTGGGGCGGGCTGTTATATCAGGGGTGAGACGGCTCCTCAGATAAGATGGATAGACTAACCTAAATGTTGTCCCTTTTGCGGCGGAGGGGGGGGAGACATTTCATTTGCATCAGATTGAATAAGAATGGTTTAAAAATGGCAGAACACAGGTTTGGCTCAGGACTAGTTGCAAAGTTCAGAATTGGCTACTAGTAAAGAGGTTTTTCAACCAGGTTAGATAATTCTGAACTTTGCCAAACCTGTGTTCTGCAACTGGTTAAATTTAATGCTGATTGGAAGCCCCTTTTGGACTTTTTGCGTTGAACAGAAAATTAGAAATAATAGTAGACAACAGGAAAAAATGAAAGTTATGTTGTTAACTTGCAGTAGGAGCTCAAAGCAAATTTATACTTATATCTGTTGTAAAAGAAAGTCAGAAGTCATTTTTCTTCTGTATTTCTTTTTCTTTCTGCACTTTTGACTTTGTTTTCTTTTTCATTCTTTACTTTTCTCTCTTCTCTACTTTCTACCTTAATTATTAGTTCTTGTTAGTTTTTATCTCTTTATCTTAAAAATCTAATAAAGTTATTTGAAAAAAAAACAAGAGGTTCTTAAACCACCTTTTACCACTTCTGAAACTTTCAACTGTGGGGGTTTGGGAGCATCTGTTTTGCTTCGGCTGTCTTGAGTGATTCCATAAACTTCATTGGACTTCTTAACAACTTGTTCTCCTTCTTGAGGCAAAGAGTAAGGCAGGAACCAGAAAGGGAGAGATGACATAAAGCTGGTGACTCCACAGATCAATATCCCAAGCCACCAAGCACCGACCCAACGCGTGTCCTTGGAACTGATGGTCAGTGTATCTGGGAAAAGTTAAAAAAAAAAAAGAAAAAAGTAAACTTTCAAATAAAGCCTCTATCTATACTTTCTAAAGGTTTATTAAGTATGACCTTTGACATCACCAACATTGACCTAACATTCATGGTGTTCACCTGACATGTTTAATCCTAAACTTGGATTAACAACACACAATTCAGCGGCGTTTGCATAACACCCAATTAACTCATTTAAATTTGTAGGAGCTCCATTACCATGAGCAAAGCTTATGTAATTTTAACTTTGGCTTATTTTTTGAGCTCAGCATGTCCATAAGCTAGCTTGTTTCCTTAGTTTATCATTCCATCTATTATGCAAGCCCAGAAAATGGATTCATTCAGTAACCAGGTTAAGTGGGTTGTGGACTGTAGTCACTCATAATACAAATAACTATATTATGGGTTCATGTAATAGCCTCATTCACGCTCAGTGCTAAGACAATGGTTGGGTTCCCACAACATACTCAACTGCAAGCAAGCAAACTTATTTTAGCCTAGTTTAGCATGTTGTACTCCAGCCATTAGGGAAGAGTCTTAAAGATCTTCACTGTGGTCCCAAAGATTCATTGGTGGTTTCTTTCTCATATTATTCTCTCCTTCCTTCACTTATTCAGCCATTAGACAGAAAACTTAAAACTTAAAACCTCAATTTAATGGACTCCTGGGGAAGCAGGGAGAGAACATCAGTTATTCCCAAATGTCTGTTAAATCCCAAAGCATATCATTTGCATTAATTTACATCATTTGTGTAATGACAGCATATCATTTGCATTAATTTACATCATTTGTGTAATGACAAATTGCCCCTGGTCTCAAAAAATTAATATAAAATTAATGCATATTTAATGTTCTTTTCCAGACTATGGCAGATGCAATGGACCTGTATTACTTTGGAGTAATGTCTGGACAATAATGTTGTCCATTGCATCTGAAGTCTGCTAAATAGGGGTTCATTAAATCAAGGTTTTGATGCCTGGCTAGCAAAAGTCTACCAGATGGAAAGACAAAATTGGCTGAGGAGAAACATTGGGTATGACACTTGTTCCTTACCAGAATCTACTTCTCCGATGTCAACCCACAGATTAGCACAAAAAGAACCAAGCAGGAAGCCAAGAGTTGGTCCAAACATTCCTGTTGACCGTACTGTTCCTATGAAAGATGGTTTAACATAAGCACAGGAATACCTGCAGAACAAGACTTCAGCACAGATGAGGAATGGGGTTTACAGCAGGCATCAGCATCACACCAACTGTGGCTACTCAAAAAGCTAAGCAGGGTGAAATTTAGTTAGTAGTACTTAAATGACAGACCACCAGAAAATCCCAGAACTGCAGACTACACTGGGAAGGTCTCTCTCTCTCTCTCTCTCTCTCTCTCTCTCTCTCTCATTCTCTCTCTCTCTCTCTCTCTCTCCACCTCCACCTCCACCTCCACCTCCACCTCTATCCATCTATCCATGTATCCATCTATCCATCCATCAAGGTGGCAATGGCAAATCACTTCCATATTGTTGCTAAAAGAAACCTTGGATGGACAGGTGTTATTACCTTTAAGGGTCGGAAGATGTATAACGCTTCCATCTGCATCTTGAAAAATGTGGATGAGGGAGTTTCAATCAGGTATCTGGGAAGATGCCACAGCATCTCTCCTCTCTACCAGAATGGAGATCTATGGCTAACACAAATTGTCTGAAGACTTAACAGTGCAATAGTTTGTGTGTGTGTGTGTGTGTGTGTGTGTGTGTGTGTGTGTATGTAGAGAGAGAGAAAGAGAGAGAGAGAGGCATTCTCACAGGTACTTATCAAACAGTAGTTGGGAAATATTTGGAATAAGTGATGCAAAATGGAAAAGGGGGGGGTAATCTCTCCTCAGTTTTTTTTTCATTTATTTTATTTGCTCAATTATATAGCCACCCGTCTCACTTTTACCTGACTCTAAGTGGCTTACAATAAAACAAAAACACAAAATACATAATAGAAAACACAAATAAAAACACATAGCAGCCGTGCATGATCTAACCTATCATCTGTACAACCAGGAGTTGAGCTGTAGCCCACACCCAAGGCCCCAGGCTCGAGCACAATGCCAAGATTTCAAGGCCTTATGAAAGGGATGGGGCCTATCTAATCTCAGGGGAATGATGTTCTAAAGGGTGGGTGCCATGGCAGAAAGGGCTCTCCTTCTGAGCCCCCACCAGCTGAAACTCCCTAACTGGTTATACCCAGAGCATGACCTTCCTGCCAGATCAGATAGGACAGGTGGAAACAATTGGGGAGAGACAGTCCCATAAGTAACTTGGCCCTTTGCCATGTAGGGCTTTTAATGTGACAACCAAACACCTTGAATGCACCCAGAAGCACAACGGAAGCCAATGCAACTCCCAGAGCAGTGGTGTCACATGTGCTGAGTATCTGTCACCAGTAAATGCCCCCACCGCCACATTTTGCCCCAGTTGAAGCTTCTGAATATTCTTCAAGGGCAGTCCCATATAAAGCACATTGCAGTAGTCCAATCTGGAGGTCACAAGGGCATGAGTGACTGTGAGCAGGGCCCCCCAGTCCAGGAACAGGCACAATTGATGCACAGCCCTAAGCTGCGCAAAGGCCCTCCTAGCCACGGCTGCCACCTGTTCTTTCAACAGGAGCTATGAGTACAGGAGGACCCCCAGACTGCACACTGGATGTGTCTGGAGCAGTGCCACCTGATCCAGACCCAAAGATGGAAGGTTGCCAGAACCAGGAGGTCCACAAACCCAGAGCCACTCACTTTTGCTTAGGTTGAGCTGAAGCCTGTTGCGCCCCATCCAGGCCCCCACAGTCTCCAGGCACTGAGACAGAACCTTCATGGCATCACACAGGATGCCTGGGGCAGAGATATAAAGCTGGATATTATCAGCATATCTCACCCCAAACAGTTGGATGACCTCACCCAATGGCTTCATGTAGATATTAAACAGGAGGGGAGAGAGTACCGCGCCCTGAGGCACCCCACAAAGTAGGGGCTGGCTAGATCTCTACCCCTCATCAACACTGACTGGAACCAACCCTAGAGGAAGGATGAGAACCAGCACAACACCATGCTGTCCACCTCCAACTCTCAGAGCTGGCCCAGAAGGATACCACAATTGAAAGCTGCCGAGAAGTCAAGAAGAGCAAGGACGGATGCACCATCCTCATCCTGCTCCCACCAGAGGTCATCCAAGAGTGTGATCAATACTGTCTCAGTCTCATACCCAGGCCTGAACTGTGACTGAAAAGGGTCCAGATAATCTGCTTCTTCCAGATTATGAAGAATCTCTTAAACTGCAAAGAACCATCTTCTCTATAACCTTCCCTAGAAAGGGAAGGTTGGAAACTGGACAAAAATTATCCAGAATGGTGGGGTCTAGTGATGGCCCCTTGAGGAGGGGCCAACCACCTCCTTAACTAACTCCTCAAAGAGGTCTTAACCAGCCAGGAGGGACATGAGGTGGCTGCACTAACAGCCCCAAGGACTCTGTCCACTTCCTCACTCCCAACACAATCAGACTTTTCCCAGTTCCACATTTATTCCTCAGTTTGTTTACTGATGGGTCAACAGTTTGAGGATTGCAGCAGCTGCACTCAGGAATGAATGTTTTGTGTAACCTTGCTAGCCTTCAAAACTCCTACTGGTAAATTTCATCAGCAATTTGGCAAACAACCAAGGAGTAATTCATTAACAATTTCCATTGAGAAACAAATCAAAAACAAAGTCTGCAAGCTGTCAGACTTAGGTACCCGAAAGATCAGCCATACCTGATGTCCTTACATCACTATGGTTATGGCACATGATTGCCTCCCAAAAGTTTATAGGGCATCAGTCATCTATGAGTAGTACGACCTTCCTTTAGAGTGTATTTCTAAGGAGGGTTCTGAAGAACTAAAATGACAATACCCTCATAAAGATGACATAGGACTGTGGAACTGGGAAAAGTCTGATTGTGTTGGGACTGAGGAAGTGGACAGAGTCCTCGGGGCTGTACCAGGACATTCCAGAGACAGAGAGAAAATCAGTTTCAGGCCTTGTGAGGACCTAATTATGGCTCTGCTACTAGACCACGGATTATTTTTCCCAAATTTCTTCCCAAAATATCCTCTGCTCCCACCCTCCAAAAACTGGCAAAATGCCTTCTCTCATTTTCTGTGCCAACCAGAAAAATGGGGCTAGTATCTCAGAACTAATTTACTGACCCTCTGTGGACTTTCTATGGATGGTGTTTAATGCAGACTTATTGAAGAATCCTTGTGATGAAATATTTTGAACCTACAAAAAGCAATATCTGGAAGTCAAGATTTGAGGGGGGGCCCTCCTTCAACCTGGTGCCTTCCAGCGGGGCTGAAACTACATCTCCCAGAATTCCCAGTCAGTGGAGTCATTGGACATATTGGCAGAGTTCAATTCTGGGAGCTGAAGTCTAGGGGCTGGGATAGCTATAACTTTGTTGCAACCTCAACTCTAATATTCAAATCAGGAGAGAAAGAATTACTTTCTTATTTTACCTATGTAAAAGGCAGAGTTTTCTTCTGTGGCAAAATCATCAATGTAAGACATCCCCAAGGGCATGATAGGTGCTTCCCCAATGCCACGGAGAAGGTTCCCAGCAAACACAAAGAGCCACAAGTAGGAACTTGTCATTTTTTCACATCCTGAAAACAAAAGATGCCCCAAAAAGTTGTAGGGTTCACAACCTGATCACAATACTAGTACTTACTTACTTACTTACTTACTTACTTATTTATTTATTTATTTGAATTTATTCTAGCTTTTATGATAAACCGCCCAGAGTCGCTCACTGAGTGAGATGGGTGGTGACTAAATCTGAAATATAAAATTAATTAATTAATTAATTAATTACTACCTGAGCACTACACCATACAAAGTAGCAGGCGTTCACTGATTCCAAACCTTGCAAGCCAATGTCTAATTTACAGCAAGTTTCTAGCTCTTGTGGTGTGGGTGAACTGCTCAAACAAGTGTAATAACAATTGCAAAAGCAAGCTCTTGGTCCTGGGGTAACTTTGATGCATGGCAGGAGAACCACCTTCCCACAGGTTATCAGTAAATGCCATCCCCACTTTCCCTTCTTGGAACACTGGGAGGGAAGAATGGCACTAATTTCTCTCAAGGGGCAAACAATTAACCTCACCCTGAATACTCTTGCTTCATTGCAAGTCCACAGCTTCCAACGCTTTCTCTAGTTATGTCCTTAAACCTAAGAGTTTTGATTCCATATCTTGAGTGTTCAATGAACCCAATCTAAGTAAGAAAGTTTACTTAGATTGTGAGGGCAAACAAACTGATCAAACTGGAAAATCACGGTATGGATTGCTCAGCAAACAAGGGAGAGGACAATACCGTGAAGCATCTAAAGAGGAGATTTACAGTACTATGAATCTAAAGAATTAGATGATCTTTCCGGAACTTGCTCATGGATACTTAACACCTGAGTGCTCACCTCTTGAATGAAGCAACACTCCTCCCCTCTAAGACAGCCCAAAGCCACTGGAAAGTTTCACTTACCTAGAGCAGTTGTGTTTCGGGAACTTTCGGCAAGTCCATAATGATGGAGAGGCGCTGACCCACAGGCCGAAATGCTTGCGGATGAATTGGCCGAGGAGACAGCAATACTTTTGTAATTGTAACTGCAGAACAAAAGCCAGGATTGTGGGACTGGAAAGTGAATGTTTTCTTTCAATTATTATTATTTTAGAAAGAAGATCTCTCCATGGGATCCTTTAGGTCTGATCAGTGGTTGTATCGATACATGGTTTGGGTTAACACAACATGCTAAACCCAGGTGAACCAAACACAATCACTGCGTTCATGTAACAAGTCCAAACAAATCCACAATAGAAAAAGCATTTTGTTTTGATTTTCCCCTAGGAACTATATCCACATACTGTATGTGGAACTTCCTCGCATGTTATTTACCTGGGAACTTGTAAGGAGGACTAATTATTAAATGAATTAAACCCTGTGGTTTGGGTGTGTATGTGAATGAAGGTTTAAAATAGGCACTCTGCTCCTGGTCTAACATTCTAGCCACCCAGCACACTTCCTACATAGTAGTTACAGTATATTCACACAACAGTTGAATATACAGTTAGAGACCTAACAGTTGCAAGGTTACTTTTAAACTTGGATATATGTCTGTGTATGTATGTTTTACAACCTTATACAAACCCAGTTCATTTGCTTAGTTCATGGTAAGCAGTGTCCATGGAGGTGGAGGTAAGTTAAAATTGTCAAAGTGGCAGACTGGGCATCATGATGTAAGCCCCACCCCTTTTGCATATGCACTGGCATTGCACACATGTTTAAAAGAAGATGGGCTTGAACTACAACACTCCTCCACTGTCTTGCTGATGCTGACCTCCCCTCCATGGACACCATTCTTTATGGTCCAGTGGATTACATAAAACTAAAAAAATAGATAATTCAGCCACTGTCAAATATTTTATGCAGTCTTCATATAATTTTACTCAATATTATCTGTCTGTCTATCTCTGTCTCTGTCTCTGTCTCTGTCTCTGTCTCTAATCCATCCATCCATCCATCCATCCAAAGAAGGCCATGGTATAAGGCAGTGGTCTCAAGTTTGAGCTGAGACCACATCAAATCACCTCTTTACTTTCTTCCACGTAGGCTCCTGGTACCCCTCATTTTAGATAAAAATAAATAAATACATGAAGGAAGAGTGAATGGGTTGAGAGAAAGGGGCAGAACAAGAACTTTGTGTCTAGGTGGCTTGGTGAGGTGGAGGTGGAGTTGATGAGTCAAAAAGACGGAGGTGAGAAGTTTAAAGAACCACATGTACTCCGTGAAATGGTGTGTGCCTACAGGGAAAGCAATGATGGTTTCCAAGAATAGAAAGACATGGAGACATACAGTGAATGATGTTGGTGTAACTTGAATGCATTAGATTTCCTTTTATTTCTCTTAGTTCCTGTCTTTCTTATGCTTATGATTCCTTACTCCTTTTCTATGCTGTGCATAACATAGCTTACCCTGAAAGTGGTGAATAGGTATGTATGTATCTATGGAAAGAAGGAAAGTCCTGCATCTGACAGTAATGCTTCAATGGACACCCATTCACCTTCAACAGGTACCTCAGTATGGCTAGATTCATATAATCCACCTAATTTGGGTACTGAATCTTATTTTCTGCTCCTACCATATTATAGCTCTATTCACAACATAACAACATAACATGTCCCTTAAAGATCCACTAAAGACCTAGCAACTTGGTTGGTTTTAACCTTGATTAAGCTTTGTGCATATTTTACCATCTTGCACAAATCCTGCCCTGTTTATGGTTCAGTGAATTTTGCAAACTAAGAAAGAGGGTTAATCCAGGAACCAAATAAAGCATGTGCAGCCTTTAATCATAAAGTAAACCAACAGGCTGGGTTCGTACTACGAGCCACACCACAATTCAAATAAGGAGAAAGAATCAGGTCATGTTTTGGAAAAACAAAAACCCACTGTTACTCAGGTGATCCGGCTGCAGCCTTCAAGGTGGCAAGAGATGTTCTTTGCAAGTCAGGCAAACTCCACTTACTGTCCCATGATGAAGTGTGGCATCACTGATAGAAAGGATCCAGAGGCCATGATCAGAGAACCTGCTGCAATCACCTTTGGGCGGTGAACTTTTGGTCCAACATAACTCACCAGAACCATTACCAATAAGTTTCCTGAATCAGAAGAAGAGACATGAACAGCCCTCTCAGGAAAGGGAAGCCCTTTTGCTGCCAAGCTGTAACATCTGCCCCACAGAGGGGGTCAACTTACCTATCTCAAAGCTCCCATCAATCAAGCCAACCACAGACGATGAGATCTCAAATCTCCGCTCAATCTGAATCATCGTGCTCTTCATGTAGCTTCCTGAAAAAGCTTTGGCAAAAAAAGAAAATGCCAGTGCTCCAAGAAATATCTAAGGTGAAAACAGAGATAAAATAGTGAGCTGGAAAAGGAGCTGTTGCTAGAGAGTTGATAGAGATATCTCATATCTCTAATGCTATAGAGCATTTTTACTATTGTTATATTATGGAGTATAACACGCCCTTCCAATTTTATTATTTATTATTTATCCATCCATTATGTCTGTATCTCACTGCAATCCAATCAAGGGCCCACAGGCAAGTGAAATGCCCATGAAAAAAATTGGAAAAAAAACAACAATAAAATAAGCAGTGAACAGCATCAATCCCCAAAGGCCGCACAAAAGAGCTTTTGTTTTAAGTTGTTTGCAGAAGGTAGTTAGGGTGGGAGCCAATCTAATTTTGACCAGAAAGCTGATCCAAAAAACTGATGCTGCCTCCAAGAAGTAGGGCCTCCTGGCCTTGGCCCCCCTTACCCCCCCCCCCCCCC